CCGTAACAGAGGCAGCCAGGCAAGCCAACGGCCACCACGATACTGTGGAAAAGCTACTATGGACTATCACGGGTATCCCTATCGCAAAAAAGATCTAGAGCCAATTTCTACGATGGAGACACTAGCTGGAGAGAGGAGACAACGAGACGCGAAGCGAGCCAAGAGAGCTGGAAATGGGGCGGGGTAGCCTAAGGGAAGAATGACACTGGGCTAGAACAAGGAAAAGGATATATTGTTTAATGGAAGGTTAGAGACTGCTACAAAGGTTTTATGTCCGGATACGCATTTTCTTTGGTTGGATTGTCAGATTTCTATTTTAGCTTTTTTCATTTTCATGTTATTTTGGTATGTCACATATTTTTCATAGCCTCCGGGATGCATACAATTAATGAATTATCAATCAATCAATCAATAGCCATGGTTGTGTATTGGCAATGCCCGAGTGATTTTCTGTGATTAAACCCAGTTCTCACCAGTTGGAAGCATCTACTTGTACTTATTCGCCCTATAACCATCTTTTCCTGATATATTTAGAATGGGTTAGGTCTATATACCAAGATCCAGTTCATTTCAAAAACATCAAGAAGCTATTTCTCTGGAATACTTATTCCTGTTTCTTACAGCTGGCGCCAACTACGAAAGTCTTAAGTTTTCCCGTACTGGCTTGTCCCGATAGCGGGGGCGGTCCAAACAGACCCATCCCGGTATATCATTATTACTGTAAATATTCAAATTTTTTTGAATTGGGAACATAGCTCTTCTACCAGTCCCCCCATCCCATTTTTAGGGGACGGGGGCCGGCGAAGCTAAAGTTGGAGCGATCAATGATGGGTTAGGGTTTTCTTTTGTAGATTTATTTTATTTTTGCACTAGGTGGAGAAAGAATCGAAAATTCTCCTTCAAGGCCAGTTTAAGCCAAAATCTCCCAAGCAATTGAGATGAGAGTCTACTAGATGATTTCCTTCTCTATTTTTCGATCTCCTTTCCTATCTAACCCCACTGTTTTCTAATTGGGCAAGGCATAAGTCCTATCCTAATCTAAACTATAGCTGATCACCCGGAATCTTCCCTTTTGATAAAAAAAAAAAAAAACGTTTAAGACTCAAACAATACTTTAACCAAAGTATATTTCTAAATTTAACCTTCCCTAAAAACTTTCCAAGTAATTACATGTAACTCCTAATCTATTCTCCAGAAGGCTCGTTCAAGCTCGTGGAAAGAGCATCCGGTGACCCAAAATTTGGAGACCCGTCAGAATTCCAGTTAACCGGTTGAGCCATTGTGTATCTATTCCCATCACACGCACCAGTCGAAACCGAAGTTGCGTGGTACACGTTCCAAATCTCCGCACCATCGGGGCTAGTGAAAAACCTACCAATCGTGAAGTGTTAGTCAAAAGGATCCCGCCCCAGATCTAAAAGCCAATATCTAGTTGAGCTTACCCGTTGTGGCCAGGCCCAAGGTTACCATTCGCACTGCTAAACACCGGTCCGCTCTTCGTCCACGAGCTCGATAGCAATGGGTCACCGCTACCGTCCCAAGTAAGAAGTCCCAATTGATAGCTAGTAGTCCAGCAGTACGAGGCAGAGAAAGTCAAGTAAGTCTTTCCACCATGGTAAAGCGCAGCTGGGCCCTCGTTGACAGCACCTCCTACGGTCTCCCATGAGTTCTTGGGCTCGGAGAGCAGATATGGCGTCCCGATGGTATATGCGTTGCTCATCTCAGCAATGTACAAGCTCTGCAAGCTGTTTGGGCTGAAACGGGACCAGACAAAGTAGTTCTTTGAGGTGGTGCGGAGGACGGTGCCGTCAATGCCCCACTCAGAGCTGAGCTGGGACTTGTAGGTGTAAGTTCCGAGAATGTCCGTACCGCCTATAGTTGATTGATGTTAGAGATAGATGCGTATAAATAGGCCATCGATGAGGAATGAGTATTTAGGATTGCCTTGTTTTTCTTGCTTTGTTTTCCTCGGTAGTGGTGGGTGTTAGTTACCTTGCAATGCGTGTAGACGTTGGCCATCACAACATGTCTCAGTTCCAGCAGTATCTGTAGAGGATTGTTAGAGTTAAGTGAAGAGAAACCGATAGATATAGCTGTATAGTGTGTATACAATAAATCCACCAAGTATTATCAATCCAGTGAACCTCTAAACCCGAAGCAGTTATTAGTAAACATCATAACTACATGTAGTAATACTACAATAAAGGGTCAGGTCATAAACTACTAACCAGGTGCCCAGAAATTGCCAGCCCGGGATGAGGTTGTGTCTGTCCAAACAACGGTTGGTGTTGCTGTCTTCAATCCTTCTAAAGTAGTCGCTCGAGTGATCTCGATATCGGTCCATGTTGTGGTCAAAAGATGGTAATAACCAGCAGTATATACCATGAAGGGGTCACTGCCATTGGTTTCTTTGAGTGGATTTGTGAACGTTGCCCCGGTTGCAAGTTGAGCAACAAAGCTGAAAAGACATGATACCGCGAAGCCGCGAAGACCGGCAGAGAAAAGCATGTTGGGATGTAGACAATTACAACTCAAATGGCCTGGCAAGAGATGGTGCTGGATTTGAAAGGAATGATTAGAGCTATAGAGCTTAATATATACTCATCCTACTCTAAGGGACGATGATAGCATATACCGAATGTTCCGGTGTTTCCCCAGGAGTTATATCCCCCGAGTGAGCGCCGATATTCCCGTGGTAAATTAGTAGTTTTACAGTTATAAACCTTATAGTTAATCATACGCGATATTTACTGCATTCGGCTGGCTTGTTCGCTTGTTCGGCCTGTCCTTCATTGCACTGCACGTTTAAAGGAAATAGAATATTCGAATAGGGCTGGCTCGGTGCATCTTTCTCGGAATGATCCGAGGTACTAACGCCACGTTACTCTGTAAAGCTTGCTTTCTATATTAGTGCAGGTATGTCCCGGTAACTTTTGAAACACCAAACAATGGACTTGCTCAAATGAATACATAGATACAAGTACTTACCTACTCTAAACCCGGTTCGGTCTCGGTATCACTTGGCGCGCGAGAAGCTCACTACCGACCTTTGCACCACCCATCACTCGATCTTTACATCACCATCATCATCACAGTTCTGTGTTATGTGAGATCAGGTACCTACTCTACACCTGCGCGCGTACGTACCGGGGGTTAAGGGTAAGTACTGAGAACCCCTTTTTGGGGAATTTTTAAAAATGAGGGTTTGGAAAGAACTCTGATTGGGCTGATATGAATTAAAGTGACACTTGGCAGCCAAGCAAGTATTTGAGGTAGCCCGTTGCCAGCTTTTGCAACGCAACCTCCATCATCTCAATTTGACTCCTGTTCAACCACAATTTCACCAAATAACAACCCTCAACAGAGTCTGGCGGCCTGAAATGATATGCAGATGACGCGGTAGGCAGGGGAGATACTACTGGTTTTTTGTTTGTATTTTTAACGATTAAATTCGATTTTTTAAATGAAAATATATGAGAACATCTCGGTATTTTTTCCCCACATAAGTCTCAGTAAAAATCATCCGGCACCATTGGTTGCTTTGGTTGCTACCCATGGCGTTGACACAAAAATCAACCAATGAAAAAATGGACATGGGGGTGTCTCCGTACTTTACGTGCACACCCGGTACAGGATGGGCACAGTGTGCCATTTAATGTAATTCGTTAACCCGGCAATAGCGGAAGAAATTCCTAGGATCGATATCACTCGGCAAAGGCTTTGACGCATATCATTGACTCTAGGAACCTCAGTCCATCAACCGTATATTGACATGCGAACCTCAACACAGCAAGTTGAAGTTAAAAACTCCTTGGCAATGTTCAATATTTAATGACTTGGTTATTATCGCATTCTCATGTATCATCTTTCGTCACAAATAGAGAAAAGAAAGGAGGTTGAGTTTGTATGTACATCGTGCATGCGGTGGAGCATATACAGGGTATATGCCTCATCTCAAAAATCCCATCTATCCGGTGGTTGGAGAGATCGAAAGGTCACACCTAAACCAATCTGTCCTGCCCTTGAGTACAAAAGTCCCTTTTGCCGGCTGGGAGTCCGCGAAATATACTATGAAGGTTCGTGGTTGACAAGATCGAGAGCAGTGTGCAAGATCTGCAGCCCTAATTCAAAGAAATATGTGCTCTTCGAAGGATCGCTATGAGTCCATGGAATTGACGGCAGAAGCTTTTATTAGCGACATAAGTGCCGGTGCTGCAGCCTACGTAACTTGGTGTCTTTCTTTTATTTAAGTTGTGTTTTTTGGAGGGAGTGTTCAATACTACACGTATGTAGACATACTTTTAGTAAACGCTCCAACTCTCGAGTATTCCGAACTTCCCATTATTTCATGGCGTCGTCAGCTCGTTTATTGAGAGCTCATAAACAGTCGTTTCAGTTCGCCTTTAGGCAGTTGGCAAGCTAAGGATTCAGCACCGGGCTTACCCCGGGCTGTATCGTTTGGAGGCCGAGGTTGGGGTCAAAAGAAGCGGAGAAGTGGGGAATCCTTGCAGGTACTATGTGATATTCCGGACAAAACCTCCCGTCTCTTATTCGCGGCACAACGCTTATTGGTCAGAAAACTGAGTACCCAATATACGAATTCTCTCTTTCGTTCGGTTTGGAAATGATTTGCCCAAATATTGCTCATGTGCCTTCCCCAAAATCCTGTCCCTGGGAATTAATCGATGCCAGCCGGTCATCTGTAAACTGTAATCTGTCATTCTATGCAAGTACACACCTAGCACCCCGAGTTCTTCCTAAGTGTATCTAGCATCTTTTAGTGTCAGATCGAACGCTTGTGTTGCTCTGATGCCTTGCGTTTACTATATGTGAGAAATTTTTGAATAAGTATGCCCTCCATGATGCCTGCCCTTCTCCAGCGCGGGCCTTCAATCAAAGTACCCCATGTGTTCGCTGCTGTTCGCCTATGGTCATCGCAGGCCCCGAGCAAATGATCCAGCCCGGTTTTCGTAGGAAATCGCACCACTATCAACATTAACATGGACCACTGGTACTCGTACACTCTTTATGCTTCAAATCCACCAAGAGCATTTATTTATACGAAAAGCGAACAGTTACCTTCTACTAATGAGCTTGCTTCTTCGTTACGTCGAGGCCCTGGAAGCCAGAGAAGCTCGGGCTCAAGCGATACAGACTCGAGACTTGGATCGTCGTCGCCGAGGTCGGAAAAGTTCCGGAGATTCACATTTTCTAGTAGGAAGATCAAGAAACAACTAAATAGACCCGAGGCTTCTTCCTTCGACAGCCCAAAGGATGTGGCGCAAGTATTCAAAGCAATAGCGTATTCCTCATACCGTAAGTCTTATGATCCAGGCAATCTTTCTGGAAAACTCCGTAAAGACAGTACTAATCTCAATTTATTGCTACCCCTGTAGAACAACCAATTAGCAACTTCTCCCAAACTATTGACTCCCGAAACTCACAACGCCATGAATGGGAACTCGGCCGGCAACTACGGAGACATAGTGATAGTTCCTTCAAAAGTACCCACACTTATACGCGAGAACAATTCCAAGCCCATGCAGTGCCGTCACAAGAACTAGAGCACTGCCATTCCTCCCTGTCCTTAAAGAAGTCCCTGTTCTTACATACGTCTTCTGATGGTAGGATCCTCTCCCCATACATCTGTATTATCATGACTAATCTAGTAGAATAGTACTCATAAGTAATGTCGAGCCCGCTCCCCCCTACGAGTGGTGCGGAGAAAACCCTAAACCCTCTTCTATACTAGCAGAGAAAACACCACTGGGAGAAAATAGATTTGGTCCTACTCCAAGACCTCTCAGCTCAGGATCGAGTACTCTTGGCGAGGTGGAACATATCCGTATAGAGAAAAGATTCCCATCTGGATTCTTAATCAATCCATTCCGTATGAAGCACAATCGATCGAGGAGTGATCAAGATGAATTTGAATCGTGGGAGGAGGCAGTGGATTGGTGGTATGAATACGGCGAAGACGAAAATATGTAGTGCTTTGATGGTTATGGTGTTAAAATGGAGTTTACACTTATGCGTGCAACGCTTTGACGCTTTTCTTTGGTGTTATTCGGGAGTTTGGGTATTTGAATATTGGGTTGGATGTGTTCTTTAGTTTTTTCCCCATGGGGCTATTATTTTTAACGACTGTATACATGTATCATATCATGACAAAAGATCAAAACACCATATGTTCCTTGAATTCAATTCTAGAGTGCCACTAACATAAAAAAAAAGAATTTAAATACCCAGTTTCTCCTCTGGTTCCTTTAGCTGGCTTCAAAATTTCATAGCCGGAGAAAATTAGGACCATATGTATCACAACCCTGAGTGGTTAGGGAAACCGAACCATTTCTCATGATTTCCGCCAAGGCCCACTCCACCTAACTCAGTAAAACACGTCCGCCCTTGGGCGGCTCGTGCAACCTTTAACGACATCCCTCAAACAACAATCACTACAACTGCTATCCCGCCAACTACCAACGAACCAAAAGCCCCACTCATCCCGCCAACACTTCAAAAACAACACCTCCAACCACCAGAAATACAAATGGCGTCTCGAGGCGGCGGCGGCGGTGGTGGTAGAAGGGTGCTCCTTCCCCCCATCAACTTCATCTTCAAGCTCTTGCAACAGCACTCGACTGTGCAGATTTGGCTCTACGAGCAGCTTGGCATTCGTATCGAGGGCAAGATTAGAGTATGTTTTTTTTTTCGTCAATCGCTGTCGTGTTATCGTCCCGCGCGCTATCTTACGCTCGGATTGCTAATGTCATGTTTAATGGTATAGGGCTTCGACGAGTTCATGAATCTCGTAATCGACGACGCGGTTGAGGTCAAGATAGCGACAAAGGAGGAGGCAGAAAGTAGAAGGGAGCTCGGTATGTTTCCGTTATCGGATTTTAGGAGAACACCTATACGAGACTTTCCTACTTGCAAGCTAACACAACTTTAGGCCAAATACTTCTAAAAGGCGATAATGTATCATTGATTCAAAGTTTACAGTAATCGGGGTAGTTAGTGGGCGAGATCGGGGCAAGAAAGCTGGGGGGAGGTAAAATTGGGTGCGTCGTAGATTGACAAAAGCTATGGATCAATCGAATAGAAGCTTCTAAGCTGGCGCATTCTTTTTTAGGATATCCTCTGCGAATACTTTATTCTTTAAACTTTGATACATGACGAAAACAGATTATACAAGCCTGGATCTCAATATATATTCGATAATTTGCACATTCTGTGTACCGCGTGAATAGAAAAGTAGGTATCAAGAATATAGCCAAATTAGCTACTTATTAAAAAAGCAAGGATATTTAGTTCGGTCAAAATCTATAAACCGAGCATGACTTTAGTGCATGATGATTGATCATGAATATGCATTTTTCATCTACCTCGATATAGAAATTTACTTTTACTCCAAGACTATCCCTTTTTCATACTTGGGGCTTTATCGTCTTGGCATACCCCTTCCTCTCCCTCTCATGGCCCGCTGGGCTGCACCACGGGGCATCTATGAAGGTGGATATTGTATTAGCAATCGGAACTTCAAGTAAGAATAATACTACTCACAGGAGGACCGCCTTGCGGCTGTTCTGATTCCTTATTCTTTACAGTTTCATCGACCGATAAGATCAAACAAGCTGCTTCAGTAGCAGCCTGAATAGCGTTGATCTTCACGGCAGTAGGCTCCCACACAAATTTCTCCAAGTTGTTTGCGATGCCCTCATTAACGATGTCGACACCAGCCCAAGTCTCGCCGTTATGGTGACGCATACGAAGTTTGTTCAAGATATCAGTGGCATCGAAGCCAGCGTTATCGCACAATTGTCGGGGAATAATTTCAAGCGCCTTTGCAAAAGCAGCGATAATGAGCTGCTGCTTACCAGCAATGGTGCGGGAGTACTCGCGGAGGTACTTGGAGATTTCCATCTCAAGGGCACCACCACCAGCGACAATGTAGTCGTTTTTAACAGCCTTCTTAACAATCATAATAGCGTCGTGGAGGGAACGTTCAACTTCAGCGATAAATTGCTCGGCACCACCACGAAGAACCAGAGTGCAAGTCTTGGCTGCAGGACAACCCTCAAAGAAATTAAAACGCTCACCACCAATTTGGCGTTCCTCAAAGCTTTCACAAGTTCCCAAATGCTTGTCGTGGATATCTGAGCAGGTGGATTGGACGCTGGCTCCGACGGCCTTGACGACGCGATCCATATCATCCGCAGTGACACGACCAGCGCAGAAGATGTCTCTATCGGCGAAATACCTACACAACATTTAGCATTTTGCAAGCATTGAGCCGTGACTACTACATACTGTGTGGCAAGATCTCCAATTGGCAGTTTTGAGAGAACGACCTTTGCCCCAGTATTCGCCAGTGCCTCGAGTTTTTGGAAAATGATTTGCCATTCGGCGTCTACTATAGCTTGGTATTCCTACAAGTCTCTGTTAGTATGTAAAAACTTGAGAGATGGTTACTACTTACCGAAACCTGCTCTACTCGAACCTCGGCATTATCCTTTTCACTCTCTACGACTTGTATTAGCACAGTTGTTTAATTTATATTGAAGATAGACCCACTCAGTTCCAACTCAACGTTTAAGCACACAATTTTAGGGTTCTTGAAGGACTTGGGTTGTTGTTCAAAACCGGCATAAGAGAACTAAGGGCTCAACTCAGTTAAAATTCCGAAATAATAGAGGGCTCCCATAAATGAGACTCAAAACTTACGGTTTTCTTGAAAGCCACACCGTTGACAAATAGCGAGTCTTGCAGACCACCTCCGGGTACTTTCTTCATTCCGATAAGCCTTTCATTGAGCTCCTCTTGGTCCAATGACATGACCGCATCCACGCACACTAGGATTAAATATTAGTACTTATTACATAACGATCAGAAAGCGCAGCTCGTACTCTTAGCAAAGAAGGTAGAATTCCTCTTGATAAGCTTCGAGCTCATAGCGGTTGTTGCCAACTTCAGCAAAGTATCCCTCCTGTCCCCCTTTTCAATTCTAACCGCAATTTCCTTGATCTTATTCTCGGCCAATCTAGCAGCAGTTCTATATCCCTTGATTATGACCTGTGAGCTAACTCCTTCCTCCACAAACTGCTTACTCTCCTTCAAAATCTCCCCAGCTAAGACGACAACCGAGGTAGTTCCATCACCGACTTCAGCATCTTGGGAGCGAGCAATATCTGTCAATATCCGGGCGGCAGGATGTACAATATCCAGTAACTGTAGAAGCATAGCTATGTCTTAACAAATCTGTGGTCTTAACGTAGTAAGTCTCGATTAGGTAGACATACCTTCATGACTGTAGCACCATCATTCGTAATGGTCTGTCGTCCGTTCGCATCTACGAGGAGTAAATCTCCACCATAGGGTCCCAATGTAGACTTTATGGTATCCTGAACCGCCAAACATGCGTTGATGTTGGAGATGATTTGACCACGACCCTGGGAGGCATCGGTTCCTGCATAAGGACCACCACCGAATCAGCTTTTCAGACCTTTCCTTGCCCTAGGGCGGGTCAGGTTAAGAATCAGTATGAAGTAAAAGGGATTAAATACCCTCTTTCAGCACGATAATCGTGGGAGTTTGCCCATTAAATGCCATGGCTGCTTATGAAGCAAATAGAGGTGGGGTTGGAAACGAAGGATCGAGGGGCAGAAAGAGAAAGAAAGAAGCTATCTATTATGATGGTTAGCAACCTACTTCACTGATTATTTTGGGAAGCTTCAGTGAAGATAGATAGATTCAGTTACCTTTCGTGATTGATAGGTGACAATAAATTGGCGTTGTGGGGTTGAACTGTTGAGGTGGAGGGGTGTCGTGGATAACAGGAGCCGCGAACTTTTTTGAACTGTGGCGGTGGCTAATAAATGTACTAAATGGCCCGTGCGCCGCCTCAATCCAAAAAATCTTATTCCATTTGTATGGACCAATGATTTGATGGGGTGATTTAGTATTCGCCATGATGTTAGAAATTGGACTCGTAGCTGGGATTTTTCTGCAAGTAAGCCTATTATCATTTAAACTCTAGCTTCAACCTACATCATGAGTTATAGGCCGATCCTAGCTCATCACAAGGCCAACTCCATGATAGTACTATGTTAGAAAAGACTCATTTCGTTATAAAAGAAATTCCAGGGCCTGTTATTAAACCGGACTACAAGAAATAATGAAGAAAATGCTCCTTATTATTTTTCTTGGTGTAGTCATCATTTCATTTGTGCTCAATATCCCCATATCCCGATGGGAAATGCTATTTACCATAGGGAGAAATGTCACCACACACATGACAGAAATCACCTAAAGGATAATAAGTATCCTCCAAGGTAACAACACCTTAGATAAGTGGAGAGAATATGATGGAAGGTATATGTGATGTGGAAGAGGTAGTCGAGGTTTAAAAGACAAGAATGTAGCTAGGTAATTAAAGTGTGTGAATAGAACACAGGCGCCTCCTCATGGTGTGCTCAACATTTTAGATGGGACTAAAATAATTCATCCAAATAACAGCGAGCAACAGTAGCGATTGTGGAATTTTAAGTAAAAGCGAGGGTATTGTGAGAGGGGAGGTAAACGAAACCAATTCCAACTGCAAACAGGAAAACAAGAAAAACAGACCAGT